TCAAGTTGTGTGCTTAATGCTTCTATCGAGACATAACAAATCGTTTCGCGCCGAATGTGTACCGAGGTCGGTAGTACGTAACTGTTTCATAAAGGACGTATCCTTCAATGATATACACGCAATTAGTTTGATCGACACCGGGTCGTCGAATGTGCTGGTCCGTGCCAGTCTCGCAGACCGATCAGTAACTGTTATCGACCGTGTCTCTAGACCGTTATACACAGTAGGTGACTCCTCCCAGCCGAGTGTTATCACTCTGGGCGAGGCGACGGCGGACATATTAATAGATGGGGCGTATGCGTCTGAACATCCGGTTTTGGTGGTGAGCGATGACTCTATACCTGTAGATTTGATAGTTGGCAGAACGTGGTTGAATCTACCTCACATAAGCTACCATAAACACCAAGATGAATTTGTCATTGAGTCCTTGAATGTCATCAATCCGTCGTCCACCTTCGAACATGTGTCAGTAGAGGTGTCAGATGTGTGCGCGGCACTTGTTGCCATCGACAAGCCGCCATTGTCGCCGTTGGAAAAATCCGATATCAACATCGATCCGCAGGTACCTGGCGACGTAAGTCACCGATTGTTATTGTTGATCAACGAGTATCGTGACGTGTTTGCAACATCACTGTCGGAACTCGGATGTACTGATGTGCTTAAGATAAATATTGTTGAGGCGACCGGAAGTACCCCTGTACGTCAACGGCCGTACAGGACCTCGCCGACTGATCGCCGTACTGTCGCTCGTATATTGGACGAATGGAGATCAGCTGGTATCATTACCGATTCTACCTCGCCGTACGCTAGCCCGGTTCTGTTGGTCAATAAGGGCACCGGAGAGAAGTGACTGTGTGTCGACTATCGCCGATTGAAACAACAGACGATCGATCAACCCTATCCCATGCCGGAAATCGACGATCTATTGTCTCAGCTTGTCGAGGGTCACATTTTCACTACCATGGATTTATCGAACGGTTTTCTTCAAATCCCCCTTAGTGAGGAAGCGAAGGAAAAGACGGCGTTTGTGACGGAAGAGTCCACAGCAAAATTCGAGAGAATGCCTTTTGGGTTGAAGGGTGCGCTCGGTGTATTCCAAAAGACTATGAACATCGTATTTAAAGTTCTAAAAGACGCAGGTCTCGTACACATATACTTGGATGATGTAATTATTCCGTCCCGCGACTGGGAAGACATGCTCTCCGTCGTACGACGTGTTTTCCATGCACTACGCGCTGCTAGTCTGACTCTCAAACCGAAGAAGTGTACGTTTGGCGCCGGTAAGTTGGATTTCCTCGGGTTCACTGTGTCTAAGGGTGTGATTCAACCGGGGCCGAAAGTACACGCCATCAAGACGTTTCCGCGACCCCGAGACGTGCATGAAATACGACGTTTCTTAGGAATGGCAGGTTATTTCCGTCGCTTTATAATTAACTACGCAAGTTTAGCTGCTCCGTTAACGCAGCTCACCAGCAAGGACAAACCGTATGAGTGGACGGAGGCTCAAGAAGCGTCATTTGTAACACTCCGCGATTGTTTGTGTAGTGCCCCGGTTGTGCGTATGTTTGATCGAAATGCAAAAGTGACTCAAGTACATACTGACACGCAGGGACCGACGAGCTCAGAGTTGCACCTAGTGTATGTCGTAAGCAAAAAGACCACCGAGGCTGAATCCAAATACCACAGTTGTCGACTAGAGCTGTACGCCGTCATCTGGTCTCTGAACAGATTACGTCCGTACCTACTTGGAATTAATTTTACGGTAGTCACTGATTGCCAGTCGTTGGTTTACCTCAACATGCACAAAACGGTTAAGCCGCAAGTGGTACGATGGTTTGAGGTACTCCAAGAATTTGATTTTGATATCAAGTTTCGGCCCGGCAGCCGAATGTCACATGTAGACGCGTTGAGTCGAGCCGCTCCGTCAACACCCGCCGAAGGAGTTGTGTCTGTTAACGAGGAGCTTTCGGAACGCCTTGACGTATTTGTCGCGATGTCCGCAGTTGACCGAGTGCGTTTCATGCAACAGGCYGAACCTGTCGTTAAGAACTTATTACAGTTGGCGTTGTCAACGAGGGCGCTCACCGAGCATGAAAAAAACATGATCAAGCCGTATACGGTACATGACGGAGTGTTGTACCGCGATTATGCCGGAAAATCGTTGTTAGTTGTTCCGCGATCAATGCGGAAGGGCATTGTTATCGGCGCCCACGACTATGGAGGACACTTTGCGCTGGACCGGACCTTAGCAAAGATAACTGAGAATTACTGGTTTCCATGCCTTAGACGGTATGTGAAGCAGCACATACAAATGTGCTTGGATTGTTTAATACACAAGTAACTATCGTACCACTACTTAGTATTTTGTCCACTGACCAAGACCATTGGGACGATAGAGTTGCCGAGTTGGAGAGGCATCTCAATTCTGCTGTCGACAAGACGAGCACCAAGACGCCATTTGAAGCGCTGCATGGCTACCGACCTCGGTACTCAGGTGACGCGTTGTCCAGTTTTAGTCGTACCCGCAATGAGTGGACTGACCCGAGAGAAGTACAGGAACAGGTGTTTGATGCAGTCGCTAACGGGCAGGTGCGTATGAAAGAGCATTATGATAAACGGCATCATGAAGGCGTGACGTACGAAGTTGGGGAGGTAGTTGTTATGACCTGTCAACCACGGGCCGATCAACCGACGAAATTACAAGCTAAATACCGCGGACGACCCCTCCAGGTGATGAAGGTATTACCGGGCGACACATATCGGGTTGCGGAAGTGGCTACCGACGGCCGCGAGGTATACGCCACTACTGCTCATACTTCACAGTTAAAGTCTTGGA